TTAGAAACTTTAACCTTAGAGTATTAACTGTTTCAATGGGAGTGATACCTATTTTTATTGAGTCAGTTGTATATGGGATCAAGTGCTATGTAGAAATGTGAATTAACTGGTTATGTATTCCTGATTTATACAAGTGATAGTGTAGGGCTCACCTATATTTGCCCACCCCTTAATCTGGTCTGACCTGATTCCAGCTTGTCCTCACCTTGTTATCTTTTGAATTGTTCCATTGGATGTTTGAATGATATTATGAAACCAGACTTGTCAAAATAACTTGGAGAAAACACATTTTCATCTTAATTCTATATTGGTTTTCAAATTAAAACATGCAAAAGACTAATACAACAGTGGGGAAAATGAGATGGGAAGGTAGCGGGGACATCTCTTCAAACATTTGCTAAGTCTCAAGCACGCTACCTCTCTTTAGACTTCAGAGCTTGCTGTGCCGCAGGCACTTGTATCAGCAAGCCTGGCATCACTCATTCAGTCTGATGGGCCCCATCTCTCCTTTTATCAGGCACAGATGGATGGGAGATTTTTGAGTCATTTTATTGTCTGACTGCAGCTTTATAGATGGTCTTTCAGGAAGCAACTCACTTTTTCCTCTTTCTTCCTCCGACTTGTGGTTCTTTCTTTGCTTCAGGGGTCCTGGTAGGTCAGGGTGTGCTTGTCAAGGCCTTTGGTTACATGGTTTATTTCCCATTCTCTGGTCAGGATAAGCCCTGTTCTTAGCAGATACATAAAATCCACAATTAGTCTTAAGAAACTGGTTTACAGTGACATCATTTCCCTTTAGACTGTCTGACCTTTAAGGCTATCCTTAGGTTACCATGAAGTTGGTGGCTTTTCTTCAGTGACCTCTTAGGACTGACTGGCCCTTCTGATTCATTTTTTATAATTTTGACTGAGTTTTTTTTTTTTTTTTTTGGTCATAAAATGACCATATTTTCAGGAAACAACAAGCCTTTTTTTTTTTTCTTTTTTTAAGCGAAGGAATTTGTCCTACCAAAACCTGCAGTTTTAATGGTTAGAGAGACATCCTAGACACAGCCTGCAAATACCTAAAAAAAGCAGGCTCATAATATATACATAAAACACTCAGAGGTAAAAATAGGGAACGAAGGTGCCTGAGGTTGGGGGAGAGTGTACCCCAACTAAAACATTCAAAGTCAATTAAAACAATCAAACCCAACTCTGGTGAGGGATCCTACCTTTGAAACCCCTCCGTTCACCAGGAATTGAGGGGTTTCTTGGGAAATATAGGAATTTCAAGGCTATAATTGCAACATTCCAGGACAAACTGGATGGTTGGTCACCCTAGACCTAGCATACTTTGTGCCACTAAGCTTTATCTTAAACTAGACTGTAGTTAAACCAAAGCTTTTCTTTTAAGAAATGAGGACTGTTTGGATCAAATGACTTCCCCCTGTGAAAACCAAAAGGAAGTGCTTTTTTCCCCTGCTCTGTAAGTTTGCAATTTTCAGTGGGGAAAAAAATAGCAATGCTCACCATTTTATTCTCCTTATAAGCAAAGCAGGACTTCAAACTCTATTTGAGGGATGACCCCTTTTCAGAAATTAGAGGCACTGAATTTATTGCCAACCAGTCATAGCTGTCCATCTGCTAATTCTCTCCACATAGAGGGAGCAGCTGTCATTTCAGAAATGCTACAGTGGATAATAAGATGGGGTGCATTTCCTCTTCAAATGCTTAAAACAAATCCCCAGGAAGAGTGGCAGCAGTTCCCCTGACTGCATGAATCTCTGATATTATTAACACAAAATGCCAAGTTGATTTGGAGATTGGAAGAAAATGTATTTGCTTTAAAAGGAAAAGCACTCAAGTTAGGTGTAGTACATATTGTAATAATCTACAGTTGCTGAGATCTAGGAACTGCAGAAGCCATAGGCACACACAGAGATACTCTCAAAATCATAGCCACGCACAGAGCGCTGAATACAAATACACACATACGGGTTTCCCAAGTTCATACATTCTACGTATACCAAAGGAATGCATCATTGTCTCCACCACTGTGAAACAAAATTTATCCCCAACTAACAGCTTGCCTAAGTCTCACATTGGCCCAGTTTCTCTACAAATCCATGTACCTAGTCAATCTTAGATGCCATCCTCCTCTTGGTACTATTTAATGGCCCGCTTGGTATATTAAATAGTCCATTCAGCAATCTATATTGTTATATCCTTGCATTTTTTCCTTAGATAACTTCTTTTCTCTTCAGTCTCATTGCTTCCACCATTAAAAGTGCTCAAGTCAACTTGAACATAAAACTAACCACAGCCTCTGGTTTGGGGTTCCTAGCCAAGATTCTGCTCCCCTCCAATCAACCTGCATATAGCTCTCTGATTATTATTCATAAGGAAAAATATTAGGATGAGATAAGGAACTAATGAACATAGTCCAAGTGGTGCTGTGCGTCCCTGAGTATTGTAGATGTGGATGAGGATGTAGATACAGCTATAGATGGAGACATGCATGTGTATATAGGTGTGGACGTGACATGGACCTAGACATGATAGAGTTATGTAGGTATTTCTCCATGGAGATATCTAAAATAGAGATCATTTAATTTAACCCTCAAAATAGTCCTGGGAGATAGGTTATACTTATATTATTTTGCATATGACAATATTGACTCTCAAAGGGGCCCCCAACCCCATATCTGGTGACAAAGCTGGGAGTTGAGACTTGATCTCCTTAACCAACACTCAGGCTCATTCTGATTGCAACACAAAACTTTTTCTTTCCTATTTTTTGAAGAACTGTAATCTAGAACAGTATATCTGCTGTTTGGTAAAGTCATTTCCATGTGGACATTGCTCTTGAACTTGGTCTTTGTGGAACATACGGAAAGAAGAGGTAGAGAGAGTTGCATGGAATTGCTGGTTGTTGGACACATATAACGCTTGCATTTTCATTTCTACAAACAGAAATGCTTTTAAGGGGCCTTCACTGATTTCATTACTTTTGATGTTACAAAGAAAAAAGAAATCCCCAGTGTTGATGAGAATCCAGGTCAAGGCAAGGAGAATCACAGAGCAGTTAAAGAAAATCCTGAGGCTCTGGGATTTTGTACCTGCAGGTACCTTGATTTGAGAAAAGAAATTCATTTAAACTCAGCAAATAAGCTCAGGAGAAAGTCTGGGACACTGACTTCTTTCCTTGTTATTTGCTTCTTTCCAAAAATCTGCTTTGTATTTTACCTTCATCCTTGGTCGTCAGGCAGAAACCCTATTTCTAGATGTCATTGCTATTAAAAAGAGGAAGTGTGGGGTGGAAAGCAAGAAAAGAACAAAAGAGTCAGAGAGGTAGATGCAAAAAACATCCCATTTCGCAAGTCAAAATATGTTAATGGTGAAATCGGGATAAATGATTAATCTAATGATTTTCAGTTTCCAGTGAGCTGTAAGAGGGGCTAGCAAGCAGCAGGAAACTAATATTTAAAGATAATTTCAGAAACATGAGATGAAAAAGTGGTGAAAGGAGGAGGCTGAACCTTTTTCCTTCTGCCTCCAAGGTTTATTGAAAATAGCGTTTTTTCTTTAAACAGAAAGCGTATGTGATTCTACATTTAAATCTATTACATTTTTTTCACTCCAAATTATTTACTGAATACCAACTCTGACACAGTTAACTATATTAAGGTTTTGATGGTAACAAAGAAACTGTTTCTGCCTCTGGGAAGCAGCTCACAGTCTAACTGCAAATGTAAGAGAAATAAAAAGAAATTAAAAAAAAAAATCTAAAAAGGTTTTTATAAGAACTCTGATGAAGGTTGTCCCAGGATGCTATTGCAACAAATAGGAGCAGAATGTAATGGCCTGGTGATCAGGGAAAATTTCCCTGCAGGGCTGATCCCTGAATGTTGAATAGGTGGGAAGGGATAGAGCTTTGGAGAGTCCTGGCAATGAGACCTGTAGGCACAATTGCTCAGAGAACTGTGTGCAGTTTGATCAAGCTGAAGTATAGAAAGACAAGAGCGGCAGGAGGTGGCGATAGGGATTAGGGTAGGGGGTTGGGAGGACTGGGCCATGGAAGTACTGCACTGCTTCCTCCTAATCTGTGGTACCTTGATCCTTAGCCCTATTGAATAAACAGTGTCTCAACAGGACTTCTGGTTGCCTCCCTGGAGAATGGGCGGTGCTTGGTAATTTCTGGTCGTCTTGGCTTTTAGGATGACCTTACCTGTCACTCAGCAACTCAGCTTCCTTCCCTCTGAACTGCAGTCACTGTTCTCACTCACCAGCTGTGTCACCTTTGTAAAGCGACTTGATTCTTTCAAACATGAACATCCCCTTTTCCCAGATGAGGAGATGTATGATTTTAAGCTCATTTCTAGAGCTAATATTCCATGATGATGTCTCTGAAAATGATAGTCTGGCTCTCTGAGTAAATGTCAAGCTTTCTGTGTCATCTATATGGACAGGGTGGGCAGAAGCAATGTGATAGGAGGAAGAGCCTTATGCTTTTTTTCAGAGGGAAACAGACCTGGATGAACAGCCTAGCTCTAAGTTATGTGACCTTGGGCCATTTATTTAACCATTTCTAAGTGTCAATCTCTTCATTGGGGTGCAATAATATTCAGAGTTACTGGGCCACCTAGAAATATCATATGTAATATGCCCAGTGTGACAGATTGAGCTCAACTTAATTATTTGTAGAACTGAAGGTCCCAGAGCCTAGAGAAATTTATTGAATTTGTTCTCCGTGGATGTGTTGTATAGCAGGGAACATTTCTCAAACTTTGCCTTCAGACTCTGGTGACCCCAAATCAAGTTAAATATGGTTTCTAAGTTCTTTTAGGGGCTGTGAATAATCATGGCACATTGGGAGATTAGAGGCCAGATATGCATCTTTCTGGACAACTTCAATTGATGTCAATTGAGAAGAAGACAAAAGGAAGTTAGATTCGTTAGTTTGTCTTGTCGAGCTTTATTTTCTTCTAAATGTGTATTTATTTACTTGTTTGTTCCTGCAGCCACAGATGCTCACTGAGAGGAGGGGATTTGAACAGACAGTGGCTCTCTCCCAGTGCCCATTTACAGCCCACAATTTACCACGCCAAAGGGCTCCTGCACTACCTGGGCAGCATTGGCCGGCGTCCCATGGTGAGTTACTGCCTTCACTTCCTTCTGCTTCTACACTCTTGCTTGGTTCCTTCCACCTCCCAGGAGGCAGAATACATTCTGTCCAGGCAGGACTACCAGACACAAGCCAAAGACCTGTGTGTGACAAGCTGTAAAGTGTGTGTGTGTGTGCGCGCGCGCGCGCGCGCGTGTGTGTGTGTATATTCACTTCCTAAGGCTACCATAACGAAGTACCACAAACTGGGTGGCTTAAAACAACAAAAACATATTCTCTCACATTTCTGGAGGCTAGAGGTCTGGAGATTAAAGTGTCAGCAGGCTCTGATTTCTCTGAAGGCTATGGGAAATAACCCTTCATTGCCTCTTCCTGGCTTCTGGTGATGGCCAGCAATCCTTAGCATCCCTTGGCTTGGCAGGGGGG